GCTTAATTATGGTTTAAAGGTGTCACTTAAGCCTAATGTAAGTAAGGCTTTAGGGTTAATTAGGTTAATTAGGGTTAGACCTAATTATGGTTTAAAGGTCACTTAAGCCTAATGTTAGTAAGGCTTAAGGGTTAATTATGTCTAGTTAAGGTTAGACCTAATTATGGTTTAAAGGTCACTCAAGCCTAATGTAAGTAAAACTTAAGGAGATTTGATTAATTCTAGTAGGGTTTAGACTTAATCGGGACTTAAGATAACTTAGATTTAATTCTAGGGTTAAATTAAGTTTAACTAATTTAAACTTAAATCTTGACGTAAGTTCATGTCTAAATCAAATTCATTTAAGTCATACGACCCAAACTACATTTTTGGGTTGAATTCTAAATTTTAGAATTTACAAATTAAACCCTAAAGGTCTAAATTGTCATTTTAAACCCTTAAGGAAGTTTAGAAAATTTGTTCTAGTCATCAAATTATTCCTTAAGGATTTTCTGACTAAATCCAACTTCAATTTCCAAATTTCTAATTTTTTATAATTATTTTGAAAAATAATTACAAAATTTGGTGAAAATTGGTGAATTTCATTTTTGGGATTTTTCCTAGTCTTGGAAAAATCGGGAAATTTTCTCAAGGACAGAAGGATTAATCCCTGTAAGTTTTGTCTTTTTTTGATTTTTAATTAATTTTTAATAATTAAATTACTCCACATAGTAATTAATTAATTAAAAATTAAATATAATTCATTAATCCTCAATTTTATTTTTGTCATTTTCTCATTGCCCTCCTGAATCCAGGGGTATTTTTGATTCATTTTTGTGATTTTTCTATGTCAAGTTTTGATTTTTTAAAGATTTATGACTTTTCTGAATTTATTTAAAAAGAAAAACCCTAATTTTCTATTAATCCAAATATATCATGTGGATCACATCAAATGTATAGAGCCTAAGACGGACGAGACAAACAGAGATAGATAGATAGATAAAAAGAGAGAGAGAGAGAGAGAGAGAGCACAATAGCACAAGTTTTGATAGAGCAAATTTAATAGTTCATATTGGAGAAATGACCCTGTATTTATAAGTTTCAGGAGTATCTAATAAGATTACATGTTCACATCTATTTTAATAGGGACATTACAAGCCATTATTACACCTTTTCATATTTCTAACCAACTCTAGAACCCTTCAATATTCATAACTGACATTGAAACCATTTTGTATTCTTTAATGTTTGAAGAGGGGCATTTAATGGCTTGTTCGTGTTGTCATTCAATTAACTGAGAATCAATCAGTTGACTGAAAGGTCTTTTGTCGACCTTATCAAGAGAATCATGAGTAGATGTCCTCCCTTCAATTAGGGTGAACTTGGAATGTTAGACACAGGGTGTATTACAGTAATCTGACAAACAACTTTCCTTGAACATGAGACCTTCTTAGAGGATCAGGAAGGTGTTTCGCAGGGTACCCTTTGACCATTTTTCTGAAGAATTCTGAAATCGACTCAGGAAGCTGGTCATGAATAATTGTCCCTAAGATTAGGTGCCTTTTATTTCTTCACTTGACTGTGCTTTCGTTCGATCAGCTCCGAGTTCCTACCAGAGAAATTGATGCTTGGCGTTTCCGACTTTTGGATACCAAGATATACTGTCCATTAGTGTTTATAAGTAAAACCAGTTGAATTTCCTCGAGATTCATGACGTTATATTTTGATGCACAACTAGCTTTAAATAATTAAGTAGAAAATATGATGAAAATTTTTTCACGGGTCGATTATTATCGTCATAGAGAAAAAAGAAGTTCACAAGATTAAAAGTCAAACAACTTATTATTAAAAATTTACAATTACTATTTTAGTGAAATCTTTAAATTTTATTTAAATAAAATAGGTGTATTTTAATCATAATAATGTTAAATTTTTACAAGAAAATAATGTGTTATTATATATATATAGCCCCTTGGCCCCACTTCCCCCGCCACCATCTTCCCTGCCTCCCCAAGCCCAACTCCCTCATTCAAAAACCCATTTCGGAAATCTCAATAGCTATTCAAGTCCACCAGGTCCAACAAAACTTTTCGCAAATCTGCTTCTTCAACCGCCATGGCCATTGGAAGTAGAAAAGTCGCGTCGCTTCTCGTCTTATCCTTCTTTCTCTATTCCATCTCTTCTGTTTCGCTTGCAGATGTTGACAAAGATTTGGAAGATATCGAAGAGCTTCTCTCTATTGATGAGGAGGAGGACATGGGCAGTGTTTCTCATGGGAAGCCCTCAGCAGCAGAGCTCCTTAGCCGAGCCCAGAGGATCGTTGTTGAGCTTAACAACGAGAACGTCAAGCGGGTAATCGATGGAAATGAGCTGGTTTTGGTTCTGGGTTATGCGCCCTGGTGTCAAAGGAGCTCTGAGTTAATGCCTAGATTTGCCAAGGCTGCAACAGCGCTTAATGCGATGGGAAGTTCGGTGGTAATGGCGAAGCTTGATGCGGAGCGCTATACTAAGGCAGCGAAGCTGCTGGAAATCAAGGGGTTTCCTACCATTCTTCTCTTTGTAAATGGTAGCGGTAAGCCGTACACTGGTGGATTCTCTAGGTAAGTCGGTCCTTTTTGCAGTTCAATTTTTTGTTTGAACTGCTGTTACTTAATTAATTCCTTATTTTCTCAATTAAGATAGATGGCGAGGTGGCTCCGTTTCAGGCTATACGGTCCTTTAGTGTATTAATGTTGTCACTAGGTTTTCACAATTCCCTAGCAGAATTCTCTTAACCGTAAACATTTTCGCTGAGTTGTGTTTTGAGGAGTAGATCTGGGAGGGGAAGAGAGAGCTGGCCTTTTCTAATCAATAATGTAGGATATTTTTGGTTCCTTTAAGTTGTCTTATCGATTGATATACACGGTTATTCTTTCATTTTGTTGTGTAACCCGAGATGGCATTCAAATTAAAATGCTAGTGTTGAAAATTTGATTACCTAGTCATCTTTTGCTGCAATTTTCTTAGCTCCTTATTGCATGATTTATGCCATTTCAATTTACTTTTCTTATGAGTATTTTTAGTATTAATATTGTTTTCCCTTGTTCTTTCTCATTTGTGATCCAAAATCCATTAGGATAGCTGACTCTTTAATGCTTAGATGTGCAATTTGTCAAAAAGTGGGTAGGTGTAAGTCACATTAGTAGTTTTGCTTTTGAAATTCATTGCCGAGTTTCCACTTAGAATATGTGTGATGTTAACTAAGCGAGAAAATTGATTAAGAAAATCTTGGCTAAAATTTTTGTCATATTCGCTGAATTGGGCATTCAATGCCACTTTGAACTTATTTTTAAATTCTCATAGCTCAAATCTTCACAATCAAACACATGAATGATAATAATTTAATATTGAATACATAATATAAATATGTCTCACAAATGAAATTGTGTATGATTAAATGATAAAGAAAGTGAGCAATTCTATGATTAGAAAGCTTAATTTAGTTTAATAACTCATTATGCTAGCTATGATAACCAAATTACTATACTACGAAGCTACTAAGCACAAGTCTTAACACATAAAGATAAGGTGATGTATAAATAAAATCTAAGTTATGTGTGAACTATTAATTATTAAGCATAATATAATATGATGTACTCTACATAATAGCATAAGATCATGCATTTCAATAGTCGCCATAATAAATTTCAAGTGCAAGTAATTGATTGTGTAAATGAACAATAAATTAAATCTAATATACAAGGCTATTTTGCACAACAAGATTCTTATGTAGTTCAACACAATCATTCTATATCCATGCCTAACCTCACTCAAGTTAGGATTTCAACAACCAACTGATATCAGAGTTAACTCAAATCATGAATCAAACGAACCATATTTTATTGTTGAATTCAAACAGTTACAAAGACAACTCCACAACATAAAACGACATGACACAATTAAAAAAATAAATAAAAATAATGTGTGCAGAAATAAAAACAAAAGAACAACACAAGGACAAAAACCACCCTCTCTAACGGGGTGCGGCAGGTCTGACCTATGGAGGGAGCTGTTGGAGTGATTGTGGGAGTCTACCGATTGGCTGGAGGCGCATGAAAGGTGGATGGTGGTCTGCTCGAGGGGACCCGACATGTGGATGACCTTTTGGAGGTGTCTGGTAGGAAGTCCAGTGACTACTCGGAGGAGCCTGAAGGTTGGTGGCCTGCTGGGGGATGCAGTGATGGTCGACAGTGAGTGAGCGAGACACAGAGAGGTAGTCGACTGATTGGTGGGTGCTATGGAAGGAGGGGTGGCGGTTGCTGGAAGGAATCAGTGGAATCTGCAATCTATTGGGCTACGCAGAGGAGTGGACGGGCAGTGGGACATCACTGAAGGAAGCCATCGACCAATTGCGTGCCTTCGACAGGGGAGGGTGGTTGCTATAGAGCAGGTTGGTGTTACCTGCAGCCGACTAGCAAAAGTAGGGGAGTTTCACTCAGTTTGGACAACTATGTAAGGAGGATGGCAGCTGGGTGGAGCGGGATTGAACGGAGATAGTCACCACCTTGGGCAAGGTACAGTCAAAGCACCGTTTGTCATCGGATACAACCCTCAAAAGAGGAACGCCTTAGAGGCTCAACTAAAATCAGAGATAGAACTCTTTCGTCTTCAACAACAACTTATAAATAAGAGTGAATTAGTAGATAAACTAGGCAAGTAAGAGAATATGCATGAAATAAAAGAGTGGGGAATGGAAAAGGAAGGAATGTGAATTGAAGCCTATGTAGGAAGGGATGAATTAGGAAGAAGGGAAAATTGTGTAGGAGATTTAGAGAAGGGGGCACAAACTTCCACCTCAAAGGTGCTTGGCAGGTTTGGTCCAGCAGGAAGGCTGGACCAATCTTCTTTTGCCCAAATCGATCACGACACTATGAGCCTCGCATCACTCTCCCATGATTGAGTGAGCTTTGACCTCATTGGTTTAAGCTTTTTGATCCTTGAAGCATGGAGTTATGTCCATGACATTGAATGTAGCAGAAATTTTAGAGTCCTATGGTAGGTCAATCTTGTAGGCATTGTCATTCAGCTTCTTATGTATTTTGAAAGGTTCATTAGCTATGGGCTTGAGTTTCCCATACGCTCCCACAGAAAATCTCTCATTCTTTAGTCGAATCCACAGGAGGTCTCCTTGAAATCTTACCTTCTTCTTGGACTTGTTTGCCTCTCTAATATTTGTTTAGTAATCACATTCTCAATCTCGTGGAGTTGCTGAATTAGGTGAACACGTTTGTCAGCATTCTCACTGATCTCAGATGTGGGCAGAAGTGGGACCAACTCAAGGGGAGTGAGAGGGTTGCGCCAGCACACAATCTTGTGGATTAGTTGTAGGTGAACTCGGCTTGAGCTAGAAGGAGATCCCATTGTTTAATGTTTTTTCCCACGAAGCATCATAAAAGATTTTCAAGGCTTTTGTTTATTGCTTATGTCTGGCCATTTGTTTGAGGGTGTGCTGCGGAACTGAATGAAGTTTAGAGCCTAATTTACCACATAGAGACCTCTAGAAGTAGCTCAGAAATTTGACATCTCTGTCGGAAGTGATGACTTGGGAATGCCGTGTAGTCTCATGATTTCTCAGAAGTACAAATTGGTAATATGAGATGTGTCTAATGCATCCTTTTTGACAAACGGTCTAATACCACCACCATACCTTGTTTCGTTGTGTGTGAGGAAGTCCTGCCACAAAGTCTATGCTGACGTCTACCCATGCTGCCTCTGGTGCCAGTAAATTAGTGTAAAATATTATATTCTACCCTTGATTTTTTTGCGACATGGCAAATCCTACTATTTCAGATATGTCGCTCCACATCTCTCTTTATTCAAGGTCAAAAGAAGTGTTATTTCACGTGTGCGAGAGTCTTACCCCTGCCAAAATGTCTGGCCAATCCTCCAATTTGGTTCTCTTGGACAATGACTTCTCTCAGTGAGCATCTAGAAATGTATAATTTACTCTGGTAGAACAAGTAGCCATTTGCTTGGTAATATTTCCTTGTAGGATCCTCTCGAAGCTACTCCCAAATATCCTGGAAGTCCACTTTTGCCTCATATAAGTCTTTTATAATTTCAAAACCCACAACACAAGTCTTCATTGACATGATCAACAGGTAACGACAGCTTAGTGCATCCACAATTCAGTTTCGACTCCTGGCTTTGTGCTTGAGCACGAACTAGAATGAAACTAAGAATTCCACCCATGTGGCGTGTTGCTCCTTTAATTTGCTCTGACTATTTAAAAATTTAAGGCTTCGTGATCTGTGAATAACTTCAACTCGCTCGTCAACAGGTAATAGCTCCAGTCCTTCAGGGCTCTGACAATGATATAAAACTCATTATAGGTTGAGTATTTTTCTCGGGCGTCATTTAGCTTTTTGCTAAAAAAGGCGATAGGGTGATCTATTGACTTAGTACTGCTCCAATTCCCACGTCGGATGCGTCACCGTTGACCTCAAACAGCTGGTTGAAATCTTGAAAGGTTATAACTGGTGTTTTAATCACCTTGTCCTTTAGTGTGTCAAAGTTGATCTGAATTGTTGCCGTCAAAGTAAACTCTTTTCTTTTCAACTGTTTTGTTAGGGCGGTGGTGATACTGTTGAAGTTCCTGACCTATCTTCAGTAAAAGAAGGCTAGCCTTAGAAATTGTTGTAGCTCGATGAATGACTGTACTGCGGTCCAACTCACAATTGCCTCAATCTTCGTCTAGTTCATCTGAATGCCTGTGCTAGATACGATATAACCTAAAATACATACTTGCTTGGTTATAAAGTGACATTTTTTCGGATGGGGCATACAGTTGCTTAGTTTGTAATACCTCAAATGCCGCCCTAAGTGTTGAAGACGTTCCTCCTCTAATTTACTGTATACTATAATGTCGTCAAAGTAGACTGTCACAAATTTTTTAATGTGGGCCCAAGGCACTTGATTTATCAACCACATAGAAGTGTCGGGTGCATGGGACAAGTTGAAGGGCATAACTGTCCACTCATATAGATCATTGCGTGTCTTGAATGCGGTCTTCTACTCGTCTCCTGGGCGCATTCTTATCTGATAGCACCTATTGTGCATGTTAATTTTGGAGAAGACGGTGGCGTCGTGCAACTGATCTAAGAGATCATCTAGGCGTGGTATGAGAAACCAGTACTTGATGATAATTTTGTTAATGGTCCGACCGTCAATGCACATCCACCATTAACCATCCTTGTTGAGTACCATAAAGTCGGCGACAACACGCGGATTTGTGCTCTTTCTAACTAATCCTCTCGAAACGAGATCCCGCACCTGATGTTGTAGTTCATCGTATTTTGTGGGTCTCAATTTGTAGGTATGCCAATTCGGTAGCATTGATCCTAGTATGAGGTCAATGGCGTGTTGGATGTCCCTTAATAACGTTAATCTTTCTGGGAGATTGTTGGTCATCACATCTTTGGAGTTTTGTAGAAGTGGATGTAGACATGTGAGTATCTCAGTCTCCTCGCTGGTACCTTCTAGAAGGACTAATGCTAATGCCATCAGGGCATCCCGAACTGACTGCATGATGGTGGCTTGTGTGACTAAAGCATCTTCTATG